GGTAAGTTATTGACAAACAAGTTAATGAAAAAAGAATATCAACAGTCTCGTTTAAAGTCATCATTTCAATATCCATGTCAGCAAAAAAAAATTTTTTTAAAAATCTATCATTAAGTAAAATGCTGACTGACATTTTTCATACTAATTGTTAGGCCATTATTTACTCACTGAATTGTCGATGGAATTTTCCGTTATTTCCCGAGCAGGGATGCTCACTCCTCCATGGCACCTGATCCCACCTCTGATGTTTAAGAGGTCCTTGTTTGCTCTGCACATGATTTGTATTGTTTGAATGGACTTTTGAGCTTGAATACTGTTTGTTATCACCATATTCCATGATATGAATTAATTTTCGCTTATGCACGGCATTCGGGGATCTAGATGAGCATCGGTTTTTAAGGTCCCAGCCGAAAGACCATTGACTTTCAATGTCGAAGGAATAGTCACTATCTACATGTATATTAAACATCTTGCTAGGTTTGGCACGGCACCAGAAAGATTGGACAATGGAACTCTGTGGTACTTATACTCCTCTATCCTTTCCCATTATCAAAATTTGACAAACGTCTAGAGTTTACATTTGTAGACTTGTGAATTGTCTTTGTGTTTTTTTAAAGAGCTTGGCAATATAAATAGCAGTAATATGTAGAGGGATGAAAGCTTAACTTACAACATATGCAAGTTTAATGTCTTATTTACTACAAGTAGACGAAATGTACACGTATGATATCAAGCGGGGCAAAATTACAGTAAATTCTGAAGTTTTATGTTCGGAACTACATGCTAAAATTAATCGGAATTATCTACTTACATGTCTAGACTATGAACCTGATACGATTGCAAGTTCCGATTTACAAACTATTTGAACACTATTACTCTCCGTACTTTAGCACCCTTTTCTCGTGACCGCTGCCTTTTACTCATTTTGTTCAGAAGAGGATCGAGCGTGGGAGGGGGATCTTTAGTAAATGAAATAGTACCCTCCAAGGTAACACGGATCCCTTGTTAGATTTATAAGTTTATGCATAGGAAGGTAATCGGCTAGTCCTTCAGAAGTTTCATTACTCCCTACCCCTTCAATATCCTTCATGTTTTTGTTTCTTTTTGTTGTTTTGTTTTGTGTATTTGTGGTTGTGTTCTGATTTGTCCTTTTTTGCAAACCTCTCCAGTAAAGAAACTAAAATATATACCGGTGTTTTGCGATTCGTTGACAAACAAGAATGTTCCAAGGAACACATGTGTAACCTGCATTGTGGTTTCCTTAAAGAAGTAAATAAATGTAATAGTGGTCAGTTTATTATAGTTTATGTATTTGCCTGCAAAGAAAAAAATGGCATCCATGGATTAGTATAAGACTGCAACAGAATCTGACAATCAAAGAAAATATTGTTCCCTAACCCTCAAATGAATAATTAAATAGATTTTGTTAGAAATAACTACTAGTACTCATCATTTATTAATACGTGTTTCCAACAATCCCCCAAAAGAGATTTCAGTCTGTCTTAACTGCAATTGTTAGCCTACATGATCCATTGTGGAATGATAATCCCGATGTATTTACATAGTATTTAAATCTAAGTTTATATGGTTAGCGAATATGATACAGTTTCAAAGCACTGTATCATAAGCTCAACGTGTTTCCAACAATCCTCTAAAAGAGATTTCAGTCTGTCTTTACTGCAATTGTCAGTCTACACGATCCATATGAAATACTAATTCCGATGTATTTTCATAGTATTTAAATATAGTTTGTGCGGCAACTGAAAGTACAGTAGCATGATCTCATAATCATGTATAAATGCTAATTATCAAAATCCTGCCTTTTAAAATTCAAAAGGCATAAGTTAAATTAAACTTCCCGAGGTATTTTTTGCAAAGTAGGTCAATGGTCAAGTGGATTGTAATGCTGGTATTTTTCACAATATCTTATGACAAACAGTGTACATGCTAAATAGCATAGACTAACTTCTTAAATTTTAAAATATTCTGTATATCTGCACTATGAACTATTTCTGAAAAGTAGGTCAAAGGTCGAGGTCAAGGGTCACGAGGTCAGTAACCATGGTAATGTGCCAAGCAATGTATGTGCAAAATATCAAATCCATACTTCTTTCAACTCTCGAGATATAGGATGTGACAGACCGGGTAAACTGATCCTTAAGTGCCGCTCTGCTCTGAAGGCGACACAAAAATGTCGTATTGTGATACTTTTTTAATGTCGTATTGTCGTATTGTGATACTTTTTTAAAGACCGATATACCACAAATATGCTTGGACTTTTGATTTCTTAAAAAAAGTTTTGAATTTTAAGATGTCAGAATTTAACGTTTTCAATTGTGACAACAGTAACATTGCTCTTGTATGGTTGCATTTCGTTGCAAAACTGTGGTCAAATCAACAAGAACGTTTTGTTACAACGTATTTATGATAGGTTTATGCGCTCTGTTTATAAATGGAGGTTAATAAAAACAAGAAAAGATCAATTTAATTTTTTTTGAAAATAATACAATACATATTGCAATACATTAAAAACATCGCAGTATATCACAATACGAAATTAACAGCCGATACCTAACCCTAATGTTGAATTATCACAACACCCGTATTGACCGAACACGTCATGTGTTTATCTAGTGATAATCTGATTGGCTATGTATAAGGAAACCTCTTTTAGAATAAGAACAGAAAAACTTTGACGTTCGCTCCGTGATAGTGAGGCCCGGGTTCGATTCTCGTTCGCTGTGAACATAAATCGTTTACATAGTTAGTATTTTAACTGTTCCTTCGTCAAGCTCCGAGTGCTAGAAATCAGGGTTCTTTAGGTGAAACCTTATAAACTGAGGTCCCGTGTCACGGTAGGCGTTGGTACGATAAAGAAGCGTTACTGTTCAATCACTGGCCCTGGATGCCGAGTTTGAAACTCTTCACCGGTGTATGGTGACGTCTCTATTCGAGTTTACAATTGTTGAACAGGGCGTAAAACAACATACAATCAGCCAATCAATCATTTTTTAAAGAAATGGGTGGAATACACCGGTCTTAGGAGAAGGTGAGTTTATGTATTTATACTATACAATCAAAAGCCCCCCTCCCCCTTCCATTCACACCGAAACCCCTGACCAAGACCCAGAGGCTATGGAATTCACAATTTTGAAGGTGACACCTTAAGTTTGCAGATCATGACTATGCACTTACTTTCCTTGGTATCTTTCCAGGAACAGAGAAGAAGAATTTCAAAGAAATAATTCATTTTCACAATATGAATATAGATATGAATTTATTGAATTAGAGCCTCCTCCTCCCCATACCGGAACCCCTGACCTAGAACAACAAATTTCACAATTTTGGAGGAGGCTTATTTACTCATCATTACCACGCACCTAGTTTATTTAAAGGGAAGAGTGGACATTTTCAATACATGTATATGATCATTAGAGTCACGATCTTACATCAGAACCCCTGATCTGGGACCAAAAATATCACAAATTAGGAAAAGGCACTTTTTCTCAATATTACCACTCACCTAGTTTATCTGCTTTAAATGTAGGGGAGGGAGGACATTTTCAAATACTCTGATTGAGTACACTGTATAGTGATAATCTTAAAAACTTTGATTTACTATAGTTATCAATAAAATTACATTGTCGTGTTTAAGATGATAACTCTACATGTCTGATTTGAAGTACCTAAAGGCATTTGTATACTTTGACTCACTGGTAAAATATAATATGAGTGGGTCTTCCCACTCTCTACCATCGGCTCATACATTCACCCCTGTTGTTGGCTCGCGTGTATAACAGAGATAAGCACGAGAAATGGTGCGTTTGTCTTAATTCATTATAATTGTCTGAGCAAATGATAGTCCTTAAGGATAGATATTTACTAAATAAATCTAAAACTATTAGTTTAATTTGAAATAATCCTTGAAATATTATGTTTTTACGTTATATCAAAAATCTTGACGCGAGCCCATTACAGAGGTGTCTGAGAGAGGAACGAACGACAACTCTGCATAGGAGATTGGGGTCTTCCATCTACTATATCAACATTGATAATGTAAAAAAAAAAAAAGGAAATTAGAGACAAGCTTTATTCATTTAGAAATATCTTGCCATTAGCAGTCATTAAAACCTATTTGTTTCGCAAGTATCCTAACAGACTAACAATAAAATGAAAAGGTATTGCATTAAAAGTGCATTGAATTTGATGTTGTATATACAAGACATCAACAGATATTTTATGTAAATTTGGAGAAATTTGCAAAACTGGATAATAGTTGCGAAATTAAATGCGACTTCTCTCATAGAAAAATGGTTTACGATGGTTTTTAACACTTTGTTTTACCAAAGCTATCATTTTGAAAACTTTGGTCTACTATAGTGATAACTCTGACGCTTTGGTGAACTATAATGATCTAAATAATCATGATTTGTCGCTTAACGCCGATAAAGTTGAGATAATTCAGCTCAACGCTCAAATCATCCAAGTCTAATAAAGGAGCCTTCTGAGGTGAATGCGAAAATAGAATCATTCTATGCGGGAAACGGAGTTTACGTCTACACTGGAAGTTATACACTATTTTGATTTTTAATGTCATTCTTTTTTTTTTAATAAGATTCTAAAATGAAATTCGCAAAAATATAGTATGAATCGAAATTTTAGGGAAAAAAGCTTTAGCAGATAGCAATAAGAGCACTTACGTTTGGTGCTACTGTACTTATATTTTAAATACTAGTAATAGAGTAGCAAATATTAATACATTTGCTTCTACATGGTTTTCATCATGGATAAAAAAAAGCATTGCACGGACGTGCACGTGCAAAAACAGATAAGGGGAAACAATTTTTCATTCTTTATTATATAAATATTAAATATTGTTCAGTATATTATTATGAATTACATAAAACGGCTATGATAACAGATGATTTCTTATCTAGCCTTAAGAATACGTATAAATACTACAGACGTGACTAAATCTTCCAAGTAGTGTCTCTAGCAATATGTGGAAGATAGCTCTTTTAGTTTGGGGAGTAGGATTAGCCCTTGCTGTACAGTAAGTTAATGTACAATATAAAAAGTCAAAGTAGCAAGCCAGCTGTGAGTTAATGTAACAATACTGATAGTCAGATTGATTGTATGTTGTTTTACGTCCCATTCGAGAATTTTTCACTCATATAGAGACGTCAGTGTAACAACACAGTAATTCAATTAAAATTTCACAGAAAGTTAATTAAAGACTTCAATAAGATAATGTCATCATAAAGAATCTACCGTACGATTAAGTATGTTGACACAAAAATAGAGTAAGCCATCTCAACAATTTATTAAATGAATGTAACATATAGTAATTTAATGCAATAATACAATGTTAGTGTAACATTACAATAAGGTTTTGTTTTAAAACATGAACAGTTACCCACTGTTGAACGCTCTATCATTTTCTTTGCAATTGACAACTCTTGAACTCTTCTATATTTTCCGTGTAGTTTACTACTGTTGAATACTGCTATATTTACGTTAACCACTGATAAATGATGCTAAATTTTCGGTGCAGTTGGCCACCGTTGAAGTTGAATACTCCTTCATTTTTATTGACCATTGTTGAAAGCCCTTTAGGTCAGCTCCATTAAAAACCAACTGATGCGGACTTTGAAATTTTGGAGCATGCACTGATCTTTGAAAAGTTTGAGTGGCTCTACCTTTTTTCAAAATAGTCAAAAGTATGCGGACCCAGTACTACATGTATAATGTCATACATTTTAATTATATGCTTTTTAAAGAATACAACATTGACATTACTAGTAATTTTACAAAATGATAATGAAACGACTGTATCCTTGTCATGACTTATCTATTTTTTTCCACGAAAGAAACAAGACATTAATATGACAAGTCTTTGGAATTCATGTCACATATTGACATGCTATATAGCTATTAGAATTCAAATCTAGGTTGTTGTAAGAATTATGGAATTCCATACTCTTATCCCAAAATAATGTAACTTCACATTGAATACAGTCTGAGAGCTTTACTAACTCTGAGTGGCCAACAATAGTTACCTCTACAGAATTTCACGAAGTTCAAGTGCACAATAAGTGGACAGTGCATATAATTTTCTAAATATTAACATTCAACTAACGGTTCACCTTGCATAAAAATCTTTGAAAAGGAGACAATTAACAGCCAACTCACTATTTAAGCAACGCTGATAGAAGATATTCAGAAAGGCTTTCAACTCCCAGTGGTCAACTGTTACCATGTATTCAGTTGACCACTAGTTGATTGCTAGTTGACAAACTAGTTGACGGTCAATGAGACATTTTTGTGCTGGGATCTACAAGATAAAACACTATATTACCGTGGATATCTCAGAATAAAAAATATCTCAAAGCAACTCTCAGAGAGAAATATTTGCCCAAAAGAATGTGTGTGTGATGGTGTGTGTGTGAGGGTGTGTGTGTGAGGGTGTGTTTGTGTGTGCGCGCGCGCATTGCACATTGCATTTATAGAACTTCTTTGGTAATCGAGATCAGTAATGTTCATCTCTGAAATGTAAACGTATAGTATTTCCATGTAGATTTAAACATAAGTAACACCTTTGATTATCATAGCCTCTATTAATAATGAAACGTAGTTTACTTCATGAAAATAATGAATAGTTTTAAATTTTAAGTTCAAATACCCAATGTGGGTCTACATATACTTGATTCATTTTTCAGTGAATCTGATATATATAGCACATGGATCATATATTTTTTGAAGTAGTTCTAACATTCATGAACATTGAGCGATGAGTAATGCTTACGTTTGACCAATCTGCACTCTTGTTAAACTTTGACCCTTCCGGTGCTGAAATGTTACTTAACAAATTTTGTATGACGGGTGATTTTGTAACTGTCTTATCAATATTCGTGCTATCGTAGGCAAAGAACGTGCGTCCACGTCATGCTTATTCTGCACATTTACTGTATACTGTGGGTGTAGTCGTGGCAATGTTCTGAAACGTGAAACGTGTTTCGTATCTGTTTATTCAATGTACAATAAATTAAAACATTCATTTGAAATAGTACAGGTGGTACAGGTACAATAGAATTTTAAAATTATTGTTAAATAAATGGAGCCCCTCAATCCATTGCAGACAATAATTTTGCAAGATTAATTTAAATGTGTATTTTTTAGGTTCAATATTTGATATAAAGTTTGTCAGAAATCTGAAATTTGCCTAATTTTTTCTGATTTTTGTGACTAAGTCTCTAGCTTTTAGGGAATTTATTAGGAAAATGTTAATTGAGTAAAGTGGAAAAAAATTTGTTTATAATCCATTTTCACATTTTGTCAAATTTATCTTCCTGATCCTTTATCAATTGAGCAGGAAAAGATTGTGGTTCAAATAAAAAAAATGTTAGGAGGGCTTTCATTATTATCCAAGAAAAAAAAATGACAAAAGCTAAACTTATGTATGTACAGTGTGGTCAGTGTAAAAACAAATCAAAAACACTTCAAAAACACAAAGCTAAGAAAACGAAATATATACAACAGAGGGTTTGGCCATGTTGATTCAGTAAGAATTAACTTCTGGAGTATACATTACATTGGTGTCGCTTCGATCAAGGTTGTAGGCAGCTGCCTTACAAGAATGTCTCAAGCTCTGTTTGATTTCCAAATATTAAAACATTTTAAAATGTGTATTAGCTAATATTTCGATGGATGCTCACATATCAATGAATGGTTGACATTTGGCTTTTCAAATCCGTTTCAAGTGCATTACAAGTCCAGGAACTTTGAATTAGTAAAACTGAACCTCCCCTAAGAAATATTCACTATAGTCTACTATATTAAATGCACTTTGATACTTTGATTTACTATGAAACTTTATTGTAGAACATTTTTGAGATTTCAAGGCTTAAAATTTCTTAAATTCGATGATAGAGATGTAAAATTTGGAAATAACAAGTAAATATACAAGTAATAGTTGCATTAGACTGTTAGATATGAAAAATGTGCACTTATGAATTGGAGAACATAAAATATTACAATCTAAAATCCATAGTAAAAATGCTTTGAATTACTCTATTATTACATATATGATGTATCAAAATTAAAATGATAGAATTGACACTAAAGCATAATTTAAAGTAATTATCGCCAAAAGACTTGTTGAAGATTAGTGTTCTTAGGTATTATTCACAAATGAGTTTATTTTTAGGGTAGACTTTCGTCCTTACGACCATTCTGCCGAGCTTCTTTTCAATGGATCCGACTTCAACCATGATCACATCTTTTCCCGCGAGGAGCTAGAACAGGAATTCCAAAAGTATGACGCAAACGGTAAGCATTGATCATCACTTATGTATTAATAGTTTTTATTGTAGCTAGAATAGATATTAAAAGAAAGTGTATAGTTGCTTTGAACGATCAAGTATGTACTTAGTTCCGGTATTACACGTATTATGTATTATTTGCACAAACTATAACCTTTTTAAAATACTACTAAAAGTGGTTTATAAAAGTGATATACTATCGTCTTATAATGTTCAGTACCACAAACTATTTTTGTATCAAAAATCAATTAGGGGATGGTCGTGTTTCTCGCCATGAGTATACAACGTACGTAACAACTACAACCCCCGAACTCCACGACTTTGCACATGCGCTCTACGATGATTATGATGTTTCCGGTGACCACCATCTTGATCATCACGATTATGATATGTATTATGCCAAACTAGATGCTGACAGTAAGTTCAGGACGTTAATTTTATTCGAGAAAAATGTCGAGTGAAATGAACGATTGTTTTTGAAATGAGATTCATTGCTATTACTAGGATTGAAAAGAAATAGACATAACAAAGTTATATACTTCGTTATTTTATTTGACGTTGAGTATTGCTTCTCGCTGAATGGAATGTTTGTTTAATTTGTGCACATTAATTGATCAAAAATATTTGAAATCCTGTTTTTCATTTTTTTTATTATTATTATTTAATACTAGCCTTCCATTCATGCTAAATGGGATATTCCTTCCAGGTTCAATATAGAAATCTAAATTGTATTATAATAAAATTGCTAAATCTTGAGATAAGTTCTTCTTCACCAATACACAAGAGGGAATTTGAAAAATAGGTGTTTAAATAATTGCTTTAAATAATTGCACATTTTTCGTTTACATTTTGTGAATAAATCTGTATTCTTGGATTTTTGGTAACAAGGGAGTTTATTGTCGGTGGTGGTTTTCACCGTCTCATGTTTCTGACATTATTTAAAAAGAATAAACTTCATATTGAAGGTGATGGACAAGTTACACGTCCAGAATTTGTGGATTACTGGGTTAAGGTAAGATTTAAAATAAGAGAAAAGTGTCATTTTTTTCAGTGCGTGAAGAGATTTATAAAGCCAACGCCTTTGTATTTCAATTAATGTTTATTCAATGACATCTCTCAATCTCTCTTTTAAAAAAAAATCATCGATTCATACATGTCTGATCTTTTTTCCAGCTGTTCATAGCGACGGAACACCTTCACGGCCACGGACATAGTGGACATGGCAAATAAGTACATTGTCGAGATTAGAGATATAAATATACACATGTGTGTATGAATACTTCAGTTAGTTCCCATTCTTATTTTTTCACTTTATGATAACGCTCTGATGCGTCTGCTCATCTGTATACATGCGCGATTTGAAGGATGGTGTACATGTTTAGCATAACAAAATACTGAAACAACATAAATGGAATATACTCTTATTATAGTTTTTGTATGAAAACGTGAGGTGTTACCAGTGCCAAATGTCATTGAAATACCTCCACGAATTTATTTCATTTCTTCAAAAGAATTTCGTCAGACGAAATAAAAGCCTCAAATAATAATTTATTTCACATGCATAATGACAAAACCATATATTTACAAAAGAGCTATTTTTGCAAAGAATGTTAAATAATATTTAGGAGATTTCCCCAAACAAGAAACCAGATTCGATAAAATATTTTATACACTGTAGGTCAAATTTAAATCGAAATGCGATCTAAAATTTAATAATGCAAGATGTATAATGAATTGTCCCAATCAAATATTTCAAACTTTATTAAAGAAAAAAAAATTAAGTAGTCAAAAAATGACAAGCAGGCTAAATTAGGTGTGCGTATCTTTTTTTTTTTTTTTTTTTTTTTTTTTTTTTTTATAATTCACCATCTTTTCCACCATTTGCCAAACTTTGGCGGATCTGATAAGTTTATCTGTCCTCTCTTTGCTAAGTAAGGATTTTAATTACATGTGCTCTCTATCAGATTCAGAATCTATTGCATGTAAATTCCAAACTACTACATTAATCTATCAGAGACTTGTTTTGAAAACTGATTGCTTGGGGGGATGTATCGTACTTTGAATCGAAATTTACTCATTAAAAAAAATTCTATTCTGTCCATGAATTTATAGACAGTCTAAGTTAAGGTAGACCGATCCTCACGCATTGAGTAATTGAAAATGCTCACAAAAATGTCTCTGAATTCTCAAAGTAATGTGAATTTACCCACGGTAATTTTTCAAACTTCATCAGTAAAGTTAATCATATTATATAGGAAAAATTAGCAAAGCTCAAATAAATTATCAGGAAATGCGAATAAAGACACCTACTATGTATTTTTTAATTGGAAATTTATGAACAAAACATTTTAGGATAAAAAATCTATAGGTAATCAGGCAGTTAAAGAAAATTGCATAATTTTTTTTATTTATACAATACTTTAGTTTCTTCTATGTACTTCAATTATTTAATAATGCATACTTTATAAAGTGTTCCCTATCATTGCAAAACACCATACATCATTTCTAATTTCATATCATGCTAATTAGCATTGGTATCTAAGGCTAAATTAAAGGAAAGGTCGATATCTTTAAATCTGTATTTTTAACATATCTTTATAGTGTAAAAATAAAAACGTTTTAAAAGACTGTTCCTAAAACTTCAAAGAACCTTGAATTACATTGAAATGCATAAAATGAAAATTGTTGCATGAAAATATTTCATATTTAAGCTTCATTTTGAGACTTTTTGAATTAAAGATTAGCTTAAAGTATTATCCTTCCTGGCTGAGGATCGGATATCCTTAAATAACTCTTTGTCTTCTTTTGAAAAGAGAGCAGGGATTTCATTTTTTATTCATCAGATTTGCCAAGTCATCGAAAGATGAGACAGATTTTTCTCTTTTTCTATTTTTTTTTCATGAATATTGAATGGCTCGTCAACAATTTGTGGATTGCTTGGATAAAGTAAGTTTGTAAAGGAAAAAAAATATTTAAAATAGCTTTTTTAATGTGTGATTGAAGCTCACAGTATCCAAAGATTTAAATTTTGAAATCAATATCTTTGTATTTCTATTTATGATAAATTAATTCAATGACCTCTCTCTCTCTCTCTCTTTTCAAAAAAATAATGCATCAATACACTTCCATTACTTTTTGTCAGCTTTTCAAAGCGACGGAACATCTTCACGGATACGGCCATAGTGATCATGGCAAATGAACACATTTGAGAAATTAGAATTAGAAATATAAATGTATACATAATATAAGTATATAAAAATGAGCATTGGTTTTATGAAGACATGTTGACATGCAACTTATTTATGTTTATATATGCAACTTATTTATGTTGAATTGCAGCTTATTTATATTGAGATGCAACTTACTGATGTAGTCAACCGGATAAATTACATGTCAACATATTTATCTCTATAGAAAATAACCATATGTATCCTTCTAACGAATACGATTTCAAGTAGGTAAAATTTGTTGTACGACTCTGGTGTTGTGCGCATAGAACCTATTTAATAATGCTACGGAAATTAATTTCTATATGGTCATGACTTATATAAAAGCTCTTTAAAGCTTTCACACAACCCCCACCCCCCGTAAACCTCTCGATTTCCTCTTTTTGAAGTGAGAGCAAAAGTTTTATTTATTACATTTGCCATAATTCTAGCTAATGTACACATGTGGGCATGGTTTCTTCCCCCTTTACTCTTTCTTTCTCTTTCTCACATTACAGCATTATTTATAGAATTATATGAAAACTATATCTTTTTAAAGAAAAAAACCCATCAATTACAATACAAAGTACGCAAATCTCTTTGAAGCGAAATGCATTATATCAGTAAATTAATATTTTTCAAAATCTCTGGGAATGCTTAAACATTTACTTACTAAAACAAGTTTATATAAAAAAAAAATCTTAGTATATGAAATTAAATCAAATGGTTTTCAAACGCATACAACCACCAGTTTTATACAATATACGAATGTTATACATTTATAGGATCTGGGATTATGATACAGAAAACAGCACAGGATGAAACCCTGCCACTGAGTTAACTGAAAGGTGACTGATTGACTCAGTAACCTTTCCAGACCTTTCAGTCATCATTCAGTTGACAGAATGACGTAAATTCCACCTGTGCAGAGATAGATCCCGGTTTTAAGCTAAGGGTACTTTCGAAAGTCCTTTTTGTTCTAGAAAATAAAGATTCTTCCATATATTCTATTTCAACATTCAAGATTTCTATAAAGGACACGTTAACAATTTTATTGATTGTTTCTGTAATGCTTACAAACGTTTTGTTTTCAATAACGAATACAAAAGATAGTTTTTGTAGTTCAACTCGTATTTATTCACAGTAATACAATCCATTTATAGATATCAAACAACAACATCAAAGGTACATTTCTTGTGATAATTACATGTACGTATTTATGTTTATCTTTATTAAGTAGAATATTTTTTTTTTTAACTTAAAACCTATAAATGTGTACATTTACACTGAATACAACGTCAATTTCGTTTCACATTTTTTTTTTTTTAAAAATAATGATGTCTACAAAATCATCCGAAAGAAAAAAATTCGAAATCCAAAAGCAGATTTTGAAAAACAAACTTTACAATGATAATTTAAAAAAAAAAGAGGGTTGTCCACAGTGTCATAGAATCAATGCCACTCAAGGTACAGTTAAAAAATATTTTGCAAAGAAATAAAATCTCAAGTACATTGTAAAATAACTTTAAATATGGACAAATACATTATCTAGAATTTGATCTAATGAAGATATAAAGTCCCAGGTAATTAAATTCAGTTTATATGATGACTGGTAGAACGTGAAAGTCTCGTTCCAAACCTAAACGTGTCTAGACTGTGATACTTTCCGAGGCTTGAATTCTTTTGCCGGTTTATTCTTTTGCTGCAGCATATCAATTCGTGTCCCTTGGAAATGACATTATTAGCCCATATTCAAGCAACGTCTAGGAATGTGGGATTTTTTCTCCGTGATACATGTACATGGCCATATTTTATATTGTGTATGTGCCTCGCGGAATAATTCGGGTTGCGCACACCAGATTCCTATATTAGACTCACGGAAAAGAAAATTACATAAGTAGGCGTATCTATTCTTTTTAACGAAAGTGATCAGGAGATGTAGTATTCAGATATCAAACTATTACCCTAGGGACGTAATGACACATAATGTGCAAAACAACAAATTGCCCAATAAACGAATAGTCTTATGTGGGTTTTTTTCCATTTCGGAAGTTAGTGAAATTCTTGCGCGACAAAAGAAAGCGTTTTGTTAATTCACAATCTCAGAAAATATCCTTAGTACTTAATTTGTTATGCATACAATCATTTACATGAAGCTGACGGTGAATAGTAAACAAAGTATAAGTAATCCGTCGCGTCATGCTTGCGCAAATAATTACATTTGCCAGATATGACTCACATGAAATCAACTATGATCGACCGAAGCCGAACACACACACAGGCACACATATCGAATTGCCAAACTTTCCAGAAAGAGAAACAATATATTTTTAAATATTTTCTTTACAACGAGAAAAACATTTTATTTTTGTTGTCGGTGACAATTACTGATTAGTATTACAACAAAACATCAATTTCAACTCCATTTTTAATTGTGTAATGTGAAAACAATATATGATCGGGTTCAAAATAGAATTGAAATTTGCTGCTGCAAAGGTGCCGACAGCAACCTTTTGAGGAGTAGTAGTGAACATGAGAGAAATATTAAATGGCCCAGTGAACAGAAATAGGGCCAGAAGAATCTTACTCACTAATTTCATCGATTTGATGATTCTCTTTCGCTTCATATCCTCCATCCTACCGGCATCAGAGCCACTTGACATATTCATGTATCGCTTCCTTACCTGATATATTGTAAGGGCATAGAAAATCAGGGTGAGCATCATAAGTGTTGAGCTAAAAACGCATAATATCTGTCGTACAATGTGGATATTTTGGCCAAAGACTGTTGAATAAAAACATTTGGATTGGTCCTTGACTGGAGAGACGAGCGAGAAAATCAGAGTGCATGTTGTTGCCCAACTAACAATGTAAATGTAATATTTCCGATTGCCGTCAAAGAGTCGTTGTGCCCAGACATTTTCTGAAAGGACAAGGAACCGATGGAGGCTAATTAAGAAAATCTGAAAAAGTGACATTATTAAGCTCGTTATGCCACATAAATTCACCATGATGCACCAAACTAGCACTCCAGAAAATTTTGGGAAAAGTAATCTACTTCCAGCAATGAATGAGCTGTACCCCATCAGGAAGTCGCTCAGGGATAAACCCATAACGAGGTTGTAGTTTGTGTTCTGTCGGAGTTCGGAGTTTCTTGCAGATGCCACCATTACCAGAGCATTTAATATCATGACAACAACCCCCACGCCCAGAGTAGCTGCAGGAATAATAGGCGGTAGGGAATTTATCGTAGATGATTCGGTGGTCCATCTGTATGTGGAATTACTAGTCTGATTGTCAACCGTGCTGGAAATGGTGGACATTTCTTGTTCCACGGACTGGTACATGTTGTCACTAAGTCTTGTGCTGTGCTGTTCCATAGAGCTAGGCTCTGTAACCTCGGCCCAAATACTGGTAGAGTAGGAATCCTGATAATATTCATTGGTTATGTCATTTGGTTCCTTAACTGTAGATTTCGAAGGCTTGGTCAATTTGTACGTTGACTTAGTTGTCTGTTTATTATTGGTCTGAACTGCTATCTTTTGCACCTCTTTGGTTATATTTTCGTTTAAAATGTCAGCATGGACTAGCACGATTATTAAAAGGGTCGTTAGAGCCGTTGATCTCTCAAATCTCGCCATAATATTTGGAAGGATGTTCAAGTATTGATAACTGGAAAAAAGCATAGTAAACCTTCTGCCTGATTTTATTTTCACTTGCTTTTTTATCCTAAATAATAAAAATAGATCTAGACGTAGGTATGTACATACATTTCTAAAAATGCTGACTTTTTTAACAATTAAAATATTCTGTAGATTATTTTTAAATCTATAATTTATTTTGTATTTAAAAAAGAAAACTCATGGGATTTGTATGATTCCCTTTGTCAGTTTAGTTGATCATAAACTATACTGGAAACGTGTTATTTTCTAGCATGATATGGTTCCCTTATTCTTACTGTTGTGTTAATTTAAGCCAAATCATAAAGATTTTGAGCAGTTAATGTTACACTTTTCGGGAAAAAATGTTCAAACAAATATCAGTTTAAATAATACATCTACTTATAATATTTGTTTTGAGACATTGAAGGTTTTTCAGAGTCAATGTATTTAGACACTGCTTAACAAATTTTGTGTTCAATGAATACTATTTTAGAAATGCAACTATTTTACATACCTTAAAGGAAGCTTTAGAATGGTGTTCCAAAGAAGAAAATCTTTTCGTCAGAGTTAAATTCGACTTGAGATAAGTTCTTCTATCTACAGAAGGTTTATTGTACTGCAACGTATTCTTTTATTCTCCTAAAGATCATTATAATTCCATCTTTTATATATATATATATATATATATATATATATATATATATATATATATATATATATATATATATATATATATATATATATATATATATATATATATATATATATATATATATATTTCTGTTTGTGTCAGATTCACGTTTTGTTAATTAGATCTACAACGCTAAGGCATTTCATAAATGCAAAATGGACCTTATCAACAAAACTTAATTGGAAAGGGTTTTTTGTTCGTTTTTCCTCTCAAACCAGCAACTTATTTCTTTTTATCACCTTAGTTGTCTTCTTTACAAAAGTTTCGCTATGATGACGGTGATATATTTGTCCATTAGTACTAATTAGCTATTCTCGGTTTCATTTTGTATTTTTACACAAAGTGCACTTCTGGAAAAAGTACATAGTTTGATTTTTCTAGTTCTCTCGGGGAAAGTATTGGGTTTGGAATCTTATTAATCAAGAATTTTCTTATTTATTGTTATGCATGAAATATTGCTATGCATAACGTGTAAAAAAAAAATCCAGAGAGATCTTCAAAATGTTCTAAGGCTTGACATAAACGGTTTTTCGACTACCTTGACCACTTTATTTTGTGATCGGACAAGTCAATCTCCACACACATCGAAAAAGTGACTCTTTTACCTATTTAGAATTTCATTAATATGATTTTAAGAAAACCTACATAATTCATTAACTGTTTTCATTTTTTTTAAATTGCAAACGTTGCAATCCTTAGAGTTCAGTCTCATTTCACCGTATATTGTTAATTATAACTGATGTGGACGATGGAGACTAAGTAACATACAGTGCTATTGTATTTTAAATCCGTTATGTATTTATTTAAAAAAAAAACAAATGTCTACTTATTAATACTATCTATAACTATTTCATTTTTGAAAATGAAGTTCTACAAAGGAGTTCTTTATATCTGTTCAGAATCGGACAAGTTAACAATGAATTCAGAAAAGAAACGTTTCCTGTGTTAAAATCAGGGAAAACTTATTTCAAAATATCTTTTTATCTCTTTTCTCATAATGTAGTTTTCGCACATGCTTTCTATATCAATAATAAGAAAGCATATATATTGCTTGTAAAGGTAGATATGTGTCCTCTATCATCTGGCGAAAACGGTAAGTCTAATTTTACTTTTGTGCCCCACAGATTCTGTGTATGTTCCGTGTATCAATCAATGTGAAATGAAGTTATGAATGGTGAATTTATGAAATTTAAGATCAGTGCCATGAATTCTTCTACAACATTTCATTTCAACGTGGATTATTCATCCCAGTTTTGATTGGATTATTATGTGAAATATTTATAATTTACACTCCTAATTTTTTCGCTCACATTATCAAAGCTTTTTCAATGCTGTTTATTTATCTGCATCAGTGTTTGCTTTTTGTTTCAATATTACCTGTAGGTATCGAATAAGTTGAATCTTATAAGACACTTACAGGTAACTTATTGGAGGAAGTGCGGGCCAATAAGAAATTTAGTGGATCCGTTTTAACAAAAGATGACGTCACAAAATGTTTTATTTATTGCTTTTTTTAAAAAAAAATTTTGATTGAGAAATATGTTGATATTTTTTGTTTGTTCACCTGTCTTATTTGCAGATAATCTAAAAAGTAAATTAAGCGAACCTAAACATTCTATTGAATAATCATTCAAAAAGGCATCATGGGAAAATCATTCATCCTTTTGTTAGGTTAAATTTAAGTATGTCATTCTTTTAAAAAAAAAGGTTTGGTCAAAACCTGTAATATGAAAATTATAATAACAATTTAATTTTTATTACATATTTGAATTATGGAAGAGCATGATCTTGATCTGAAAAAATCCGATGGACAATAACTGTGCTCCTTTCTTAGCCGACTTGCCTTTATATTCTTATGAAGCAGAATTTATTTAAAACCTTCTACGTGAGAAGAATACTGTTGTGGCCTTCAACTCGACATTTTCTTTTTTTATATCGATGTTTTATCAATTAACAATAGCTACTTCCATTCATATGTCGACTTCATATGTCCCAGTAAACTCAAAATTAAAGACACTGCATAGTCTGCCACATCTGTTTCATATTTGGATGTTTTACTGACCAACTATTTGACAATCGTAATGGACTCAGCTTTTCCATCGTCAACTTCCATTATTTAAGTATTAATATCCCGCTATCACCTGCATATGGTCTACATTTATGTCTCCCAATTGATTCAATAGGCCAGAGTATGCTTTGAGTATGATCAAGGTTTAAACCGAGTCAAGTTTCTGACAAAAGAGTTGAAGTTAGAAGTATTTCAATAACCCCGTATAAAGTCAGTTTTTTTTGTGTGCAAATTTTACTGTTGTTAAATGATTATAATGACCTTGTTTGTAAATGAACCTATCGTTAGGTGTATTTTGTCTGACATGTTAGACACTATTTGCTAGCTGTATAGGTAATTGCTTTATATTAAAATTGAGATTGCTTTTATACTAAATTTGACTACGGATTACTCCGTATACCTGAACAATAGATAGGGTTCGTGCAAGTGCGACCGGTCAAAAGGGATGCTTACTCCACCTAGGCATCTGATCCCACCTCTGGTGTTTCCAGGGATCCGTGTTTTTGCCCTGTTCACGATTTGTTTTGTTTATTGCATTTATGAGAGTGATCGCTGATCGGTAATGTTCACCTTTTACACGTCATTTGGAATGTCAATTCTTCATATTTTAAAGCAGTTCTGCCATCATATTTCTGGACTTATTCAAGAGATATAGCTTAACAAATATTTCTCCTTGAAGCGTTTGTACGATTTTTAGTTTTGATTCTTCATGCTCACTGGTCAATTATTAAGTTTAAAATGGGAATTTTTAAGCACAAATAAAAAAATATGTATGAGGACATGTATCTTTTAAAATATTTAATTTTTAAGCCAAAAATATACATGAGGGCATGTATCTCTTAAAATATTTTATAGAGTACACGTAAATTATGCAAAGCATCAAATCTGCCGAAAGCAAAATTAAGCATTTAAAAAAGTACATTCACAAGTAAGCATCCCAGGAAAGAGCAAGATTTTCAAAGCAAGAAAAGTGATATTTATATATCAGACTGTATTTAGTCAAAGAAAAGAAAAATAGATAAATAGAAATTTCAGTCTGTCTGTCAAATTGTTTCATAAAATAAAAATGTCATCAAAATGAAGATGCAGGCCTATTTATATTCAGATCTCCAGATGAACCACGTGGTGATACCCTGGATCTTTGTCACGTGATGATGCAAACTATGCTGCACGACGCGATGAGAGAAACACAATAAATGCAAAATGTAGAAAAAAAATTATCCATGTGTCATTATTTAAAACAATTTTTACTAGTACCAACTTTTCATTTTTATTCAATGACATCACTTTTACCACTGTAATTATCATCCGGAAAATCATAACGATTAGCGTTCATACACTTCCATGTTGGGAAGTACCTATTGTAAATCCTTAAATTATATAATCATAAATTAATGATTATCTGACGAGAAATGAAAATGACATTGAAATATACATGTAATAACAACAATGAAGACTTCATATAGGTTTTTAAAATATGTTTCTCATAATTTTATATGTTATCATTTAAGCAATATGAGCTGCATTTTTTAGAATTTTATTTTGCTGTTATTATGATAAATTTTATGTAATTTAAACCTTTTTGATCAATTTGACAGAAATAAAGTATCAAATTGTTTCAGAATAAAGGATTCTGTACAATCACATCTATAGTATTACATGTACAGGACGACAATAATGTAATTTTGCTTCAATCAAAGCTTATAAATAGTTCTTCCAACGCAAATATAACAACAGAGGTTTATAAACGTTTTTTTTTTGTCATAGAAATAGTTGATTACAAGTTTGCAACAAAAATTTCTGGCATCAAAGTTGCAGCTCATATTGATTTAACGAATTATTTTACCGAATGAAAAAAGAAATAACGTCTCATTTCCCCACGTACACTTTCTAACACAACCACAAATAGATTGGCCTCTCCTGTGACCGATAATGAATTGAGTTTAAAATTTTTAAAAGAATATTTTATGCTTCTCCTCATACAATGCAAATTGTAATTATTTACCAATAATGTTTTATCATTTTAAATATATATTTACAAACCTTCAAAGAAGCCACAGAATGGAATCTCACAGTTTATGAAGGAAATCTTCCCGTTAGATATCCGCTGGATTTCTTTAACATTTAGTGTAAGAAAAGTTCCTCCATTAATCGACGGTTGCTTAAATTGACAAAAAATATTCCAATTATCTCCTGTTATCCTTCATTCTTCCGTTCATA